TGTGCTGCTCCTCTTCGCCCAATGCCACGGGTCATTCCCTGTGAGCCGGTCGAGTGGTCGCGAGATCTTAGCAAAGTCTTTGATGAAGCGGCGGTAGAAATTGGAGAACCCCCGGAACTTCTGGACATCCTTTTTGTTCCGGGGTACCGGCCACTCATTAATTCCTTTTAGCTTCGCGGGATCCATCGCTACCTCATCGCCACCAAACACATAGCCGACATAGTCGACCTTGGGAACGTCCCATTCGCACTTCTCAGGCTTCAGGAATAGATCGTTGTCCTGAAGGCGACGAAGAACCTCGCGTGTGACTTTTTTGTGCTCCTCCTTGTTGGTAGAGAAGATGAGTATGTCATCAAGGTATACAAGGATCTTGCCACCGACGATGAGATCGTGGAAGATCTCGTTCATCATCGCCTGGAAGGTCGCGGGGGAATTGGTGAGGCCGAAGAACATCACCAAGGGCTTGTACAACCCTCGGTTAGTCACAAACGCCGCCTTCCATTCGTCACCGGCTTTGATCCGGACGTTGTTGTATCCCCATCGGACATCGAACTTGGTGAAGAGTGTGGCGCCGCAGAGCTTATCTACCATCTCGGCGATCAGCGGCAAAGGGTAGCAGTTTTTGACCGTGATAGCGTTCAGGCGGCGGTAGTCCTGCACGGGTCGAAGCGTCCCTTCCTTCTTTTTGATGAAGAAGAAGGGGGACGAAATGGGTGATTTCGACTCCCGTATGTAGCCCTTTGCTAACTGCTCCTTGAGGAACTTGTCCAGTTCCTCCTGCTCATTGCTCGACAATGGGTATACCTTTGAATGGAATGTCGAATAGCCGGGCACGAGTTCAATTGCGTGATCATACGGCTTCCTTTCGGGTAGCCGTTCTGATGCTTCCTTCGAGAAGACCTTCAGAAACTCGTGGTACTGTTTGGGTACCGACTCCTCGGCAGTTTTGATGACCTTCTTCTTGATCTCTTCCTCAGCGAACAGCTGGGAATACGTGTGCCCCGCTGCGATGAACAGCTGAGGGGCGCCGGGAAGCGTGATACCCTGCTCCCAGGCCTCGATCAAGTCAGCCTCATTCCATTCTACTTCCACCGAATCTTCTTCGGGTTCGAAGTCCGGGAGCACCTTACTTCGGCAGGCACCTATAACTGACCATTTGGATTTTGGCAAACGCCTGCGCGCCGTGGGCCTTACCCCCGTATCACGCGCAGTCGCAGCTTGCTCCATTCGGCCAGTTCTTCTGGCGCTGCATGTTTCAGGGCATCGTGACAATTTGAGGGAGCCCTTCTCCCAATCGATTTCAGGGTTGTGCTCACATAGCCAATCCAACCCAACGATCACATCTTCTGGACCGATGTCCGTGACCGTGAACACCGTCTTTTCGATGTGCTCTCCTATATGCATCTGTAGCACTGCTACTTCCGAGATGCTTCCGTCTTTATTGAGCGTTCCATCGATGTTGTAAAGCGGAATTGGCTCTTTCAATTTCCGCGTTCGTACTCGATTCTCCGTGATGAAACGCTTGTTGATGAACTTCGTGGTGGCTCCGCTGTCCACCATTGCAACTATATCCTTGTGCCGTCTTTCTCCTTTGAGGCGCACCAGGATGTGGAAGTGCTGGGACCCATGGTCCAACTCGTAAACATTCGCGGTCGCCAATACTGTCACGAGTTGATACGGCGTCTAGCCATTTTTTAATTTTTTCCTTTTCGCGGGCTCGAACCTGCGACCTCTGTACTACATACCGGATATGGACGCATCACTATCTACTGTACGATTAGATTAGATGGGGCAGCAGCGCACGGCACAGCCCGGGCTCCGCTGACACAGCCCCTCTGACTCACCGGCCCCCGGGGCCGCGTCAGCATGCTGCGCACGGACCAGCTGCGCACGGACCAGCGCGCACAGCCTCCCCTAAACATCCCCTGTATATAAGCCGGCCTCTGCTGCCCTAGGGACCTCAGTTTCGACCTCTTGTCCCTAGGTCAGTAAGCTCTCTTGTACTTACTTACCTTTCCTTACTAACTAATACATTTCTTGTCCCTAGCCTTAGGTTTGAGCCTCGCTCACCATCGCTTCGGTGAGAACCAGTCGGACGCCCCTCGCTTCTAGGTCTTTTCCTGTCGCTTGACCTCAAGTCGCGACAAATACATTGTACAAATTGTTATTACGAGGCCCGACGCGTGCGGCACGAAGCGCGGACCGAATTAAAAACCCTCCTCCTTCATTGCCCGATAGTGTTCGAGCTCCTCGCGCATCGACTTCACCTGTGCCATTAAGTCCACCAGCTCCGATTGCTCGGATTTCGCTGAAGCGGCACTTATACTTGCCGAGGGTGAAGCGACGGGGGCACTTGTCGCTGCCTGGGTGGAACCCGAGGCAACCGTAGCCCGCGCGTCGGCGCGTTTTGTGTAAGGCTTGTCCTTACAGTTGGGGCACTCGAAACGTCGGTACCCTTGCTTCCCACAGCCAAAGCAAGTGCCGGGGAAGTCTCCTTTTCCGATGGCCACATTGATGCTGGCCGAAGCTGCGTGCGACAAGGGTGCACCACCACGTGCCCCACCGCGACCTCGACCCCGGGCCGAGAAGAAGTTGTTCAACTCGGGCCGACGGGCCCGGCTGATGTCGAGGATCTGCTCGACCTCAGTGGCTCGCTTTTCAGCGGCTCGCCACGTGGTGAAGGTCTCGAGCTCGATCTTGCGATATACGCGGGAGGGGATACCGCTCAGGTACTTGTCGCGTAGTTCCAGGTTCCCATACCCGGAACGGTCCGCCGGACCCTTGAACAGCGCGGAGAACTCCGCCGCAGTGCGTTTTTCGCGGACCGACTTGTCCGCGCAGAGCTTCGCCAGCTCTACCTGGGCTGCTGCCGCATCGTCGAGATTGCCAAAGCGAGCCTTGAAGGCAGCGGTGAAGGCTGCTTCGTTCCTGAAGGGGGTCGTGATCCCTTGTACTCCCATCTGCACTGATGCGAGTTGGGCGAAGTAGGGCGTGGCCCAGGCGCGGGCGTCGCCATCGAGCAGGCTTAGCGCAACTTGTACCTTAAGCTCAATGGTCGTCAACAACGTGTTGATCAACCAGTAGATACGAAGTTGCGACAAGAACCTGTCGCATTCGATGACGGTTTTGCCGTCATAGCGGAGGGGGAGGAGGAGCTTCAGGGTCTCCTTGTCGGGGGCGGCTGCGGGGGACGACATTATCGGCGTTGGGGGGGACGGAGGACGCTGTGGGGGCGGAGGCAGCTGTGGTGGCCTTCCGCTGGTCGAACTTCGAGAGGAGCGAGTGCTCGAGCGGCCTCTCGGCGGAGTCAGCGGTGAAGGCGCCGGAGGAAGTTCGGCGGGGGGGTTACATACGTCAGGGACTGCTGACGCGGGGGCGAACGCTGTCGGCGAGACGGACCCAACAGAATCCTCGGACTTGGACTCCGAGACTCCTTCTTCACCCTCACCCTCCTCAGGCTCAGGCTCTGGCGCAGGGTCTGGAGGGAGATTTCCTCGCGCTTGACTGGACTCAGCGACAGTTTGGGGAAGGCAGGAGGTAGGGGAGACAGGGCGAGAGTGCCGCGAGGCGGATCGAGACGCAAGGGTGCTTCGGGGTCCGAGCGGGTGTTGTGCTCGCCTGATTGCCTTGTAGTGCGGGTAATCTTCCGCGATCGATCAGGGTGTCCGGTTTGGGCACGGCTGCTGCTCGCAACGGTAGATGATAGTCTCAGGGCCGTCTGGGATGTAGACATCGATAAGGTCCTGAGAGTCGAATGCGTGAACTTGGCCTTGGCAGGCAGCCATGTTGGATGGGGGGAGGAAGGGGAGGTGCGCGTACTAAAATGGCCGTACTACACTAGCTTACACTACGGCGCCCGAGAAGACCCTGAGGTTCGCAGTTCACGTGGGGCCCAGTACTGCTTTTGGCTAGTATGCAGCAGAAACCTAGTCCATGCGTCCGTGAGGACAAACACCGCCCACTGAAGTGCAGGTGTTGAAGAGTTCGTTCCTCTAGGAGTGGCAATGTATGTAAGGCTACCTACGTATCGTATGTACCGTAGGGTATCGTAGGGGTGCGCACCACCCGTCCTGTGGGAAAGGAAAGTGAATGTGGGGAGTCCCAAGAGGACGCCGGCAGCTTGGGGAGTTTCGACCTAATGTCGCGACTTGAGGTCAAGCGACTGGGGAAAACCTAAGGGCTGGGGGCGTCCGACTAAGTCTTACCGAAGCGATGGTGAGCTACGCTCAAACCTAAGGCTAGGGACAAGAAATGTATTAGTTAGTAAAGGTAAGTAAAGGATACAAATGAGAGCTTACTGACCTAGGGACAAGAGGTCGAAACTGAGGTCCCTAGGGCAGCAGAGGCCGGCTTATATACAGGGGAGGATAAGGGCAGGCTGTGCGCGCTGGTCCGTGCGCAGCTGGTCTGTGCGCAGCATGCCGATGCGGCCTCGGGGGCCGGTGAGTCAGAGCGGCTGTGTCAGCAGAGCCCGAGCTGTGCCGTGCACTGCCGTCCTATCTAATCTAATCGTACAGTAGATATGATGCGTCCGTATCAGGCAAGTAGTACAGAGGTCGCGGGTTCGAGCCCGTGAAAAGGGAAAAATTAAAAAAACGGTTAGACGCCGTACCAACTCGTGACAACAGAGGGATCTGCTAACTTCACAATTAGGGGTACAAAATTCAGTTTCCAAGGGTCTATACAGAACTCCTGACATTCCACAACAAGTTTGCACTCGAAAAATTTCATTTTATTTGTGTATCTAGTGGACTGCACATAGATGATTTACATATTTTTCCAGGGACAGCTAGCCAAGAAAAAACACAATTCATGGCCAAGTGTTTCAGTGACCAGTGGTGTTTCAGTGACCGGTCCTATACTGTGACTGGGACCGATGGATACCGGTCATCAGGAGCATCATTGCCGTTTATTTGCCACTTTGTTTGGTTGTGGACTAGGGTTTAGTAATCCATCAGGTTCGATGATGACATTTATATATGTGGTTACGCACTGTCCGCGAGCATTGTAGATCATATGCATCAAGCAGATTGCCGCACATACTTCGACTTTCCGAGGAGAACTGTCAATTGATCCCTATTCATGTCACATGCATCTCCGCGGGACCATTGCAGGCAATTGACCGTTGCTGGATAACATTGCGATTTGCAAGAGCAGATCATTCCACCAACTCTTGCTCATCCTTGCCACTTCACTTCTGGTCACTCCCACCTCATGACGTCATGAAAGCCTATTCATTATTCAAATAAGGCAGCGCACTAAGGTGACGAGGCCGACACAAAGGTGAGTCACCAGCGTAGTGTCAAGCTCGCCCCCCTAGGTATTATCAACATTCACTCGCTGGCGAAACGACAAGGTTTCGGGAAGGCGATGACTGTAGCCCAAGTCTGTACCAGATGTGAGGAACGAGAGTACATCTCACGCTCCTCTTGATCATTGAAGGGCTAGGGGACATGTTATTCTTCTTTTCATACCCTCATCCGGGTGGTCATATCATGATGTACAGCACCGAGCTTACTTGATTATGCGTGACAGTGTATAGTGGGTAGGCACGGAGACACGAGCATTGAACGTTGAGTCATCGTATAGCATTGAGAAGGACGAGCTCGAAACTGGACCTTCTTGTAATATATGTGTTTGGAACTGATTGACGACTGGATGCTGTAGAGGCACTGCCGGGGATCTTGTGATAATGCGTTCGAGGATTTATTCCCTGGCTGGCTAGTGGAGCATTGTTAGGGTGTAGAGCGAGTCTCCACGAGCTGACGCAGTTGAACGCAAGGTTTGTGAATAGAGCATGAAATGTATGGACTGGTGAGAGAACGTGGGGATGAAACAGCAAAACACATTGACGGCGTCTGCTATTCAGTGGACGCCAATGTAGGCGTAGATGGAGGGACGACGCCGCTGGCGAAGAGACGAATGGTGCCGGAAAAAGCGGTCGAATCAGCCAACTATGTTGAGCGCGAAGACAAGCCTGTAGATGATAAGCTACCGCATTTGCGTGCGAGGGCGGGCACTATGAGCAGATGTGTCGCACTCTTTGGGCGAGGTTGTGAAATACGCACCGTCTGCCGCGAATGGGCATCTGCAAAAGTATATCCTCAAGTGAAGGGACGGGTTCCACAAGAAAGTCGTGTGAGAGGCATGAGAAAATACTGTAAGACCAAACGACACACCACACACCATGATGACGAGTCCAAAATACAACCACCGCAGACTCAAACCATACGGCACAAGCTCTTAGAGCTGATCATTATATATGCTACACATGTGAGGTGTCCGTCTCAGTGAGCGCATCTGTCACGGAGAGAATGGGATAGAGTAAACAGCGGGCGCGAGAACGCAATGTGTACGGACGGAAAGTGCAGAAAGTCCGGCCAACAGGCATGAATGGACGACAAGACACGGAGGGTCGCCGTGGAGGTGATGCTAGACATCGATGAAGAGAACAAGGGCATGAGATGTGCATTGCGAGCTCCTCCGGCACGGCGAACGCGAGGTCGTCGACGACGTCGACGACAGGGCTGCCCTGGGAGGACCCCGGCGAATCCCCCAAGAGCTCTGATCCCGCGCGGACCCCCCTCCGGGGGTCAGCCCATGGTCGATTTCGGGGGAACTTCACATAACCTCGCCTGATTCCGGTCAGTTTCGGGGGTAAATGGGATTCAACGTCTAAAAATCACAGTAAAAGGCGAGAAATCGCAAAAAAATCGCGCGCGCAATTGTCACAAGGCCGTACATAGATTTAGAAGTACCGACTACTACGCCACTGAGGCCACTGATTGGTACTAATCTCTCTACTTCGGACTTTTGTATTTGCACAAGATCATTAGATCTATAAATTCCTACTTACAGTGTTAGAATGTCTATAATACAGCCTGCTTATTTTTTGGACAACATTATGCACTGTGTGAGCTCTCTAGCAGTATGACGCTCGGAATCAGACACTAATGGCATTCCTGGCATTAGGGGTGATAAGGGGAAAGGAAATGCTGCTGTAGCCTATGCAGGCAAAGATAAGAGACCTGGTATGCAGTGTATGTCCTCAAACTGTATCACGCACCCGATTGAGGTGTTGCAGGTTCTCTGGGTAGCGCTCACAATCCGCTTTTTGTGGTGTCGAACTCTGACAGTGACGAAATGCATGCCAGCATGTCAGGGAAGAGGGATACCTGCATTTGTACTTGCGGGACTGACCCTGGAGACTACTGGCCAGACGACAGCCTGCCAGACATTAGCTCGAACATCAGAAGTGTGCAAGTTATGCCTACCTTGGGTGAGCCCGGACCTTCCACGACCATCGAGGAGAGAGATTATAGCTGTGTTGACTTCATAGCGAGTATACCATTGTATACTTGCTAGTGTGAACTTACAGCTGGCAGGACGGGAAGGAGCTGCAAAAATTCGGACACAGGCAGATTCACATCTGGCTTTAGCAGGTCAAGAATATTGCATGGGGGCTGTATATTGTCTGTGTCATCTAGATCTTCGCAAGGTATTTCGGCCACATCCATAGTCAAGCAACAGTAGTAGGCAATAGATTCCGAAAGACGCAGAGCAAGGGGATCCGTACATAACAAATTTGAGCGCGCTATCGATCCTCTGCACTATGCTAGAGAAATTACCTGATAAGTAAAGTAACATAACGATGAAGTGTTTGGTATCGAGAACCGATAAGTAAAGTAACATAGCGACAAAGCGTTCGGTATCGAGAAGCAATCGAGTGAGACGTCACCAGTATCATCGTACCTTTCCGGCACATTTCGGCACCCGTTCCGAGGCCGGATGGACCTTATGTTCGGGGGTCGAGGATCATACCTCGCCCCGGACGCCTGGTTTCGGGGGCACCTGGCACATAACCTGACCGCCGTCCGGGGCCCGTTTCGGGGGTTTGAGATATAAGTTTTTGGCTCCAGAGGCCCCCTTTTCGGGGTTTTCGGGATCAGAGCTCTTGGGGGATTCGCCGGGGTCCTGCCCTGGGCTGCCGCCAGCCATCTCCACCGGCGCACGCCGGAGCGGACGTTCGGTCGATCGGTCGATCCGCGTCGAGCGTCTCTTCGCCCGCTTGCTCCAAGTCCTCTCCCCGCTCCTTCGTCTCCTTCAACAAGCCATTCTCAGAGATCTTGCATGCCTGTCCAACGTCGGACATATGCTTGACTTCCCTGAGCTCTGCTACCGACTTTGAGATGTGATTTTTCATCTATTCTTGGACTTACTACGGTTATGTTGCCTCTGTTGTGCGGCAGTCTTCTAAGACAGCATTGTCATAATCGGCATCTCAAAGTCAAAGTACATGATGATTCTGTGTGCGCATTTCTCATTTTACTACTCGCCATCTACCGCGGAATATGTATTGCAGTGCATCTTGGGATGCAATAGCTGTCTAACGCAAGATTCTCACTGCACTCGCTATTTTCTTCAACCCACACACTGAGAGACCAGTTCCGCGTGAATTCGCTCCGTTTACCGTGTGAATGTCCGATTTCACACGGCAAGGGTGTGAAAAACGGATGAAACGCAGTTGACACCGTGAATGGATGAAATCCACCCGGCCCTCCTGACGGATGAATTTCACCAGAAAAGCGGCGGGTTTTCATCATGCAGAATGATGAAGGCAAACAATTGATACATTGCATCAATTCTGCTAATGGCTACTAATGTACAGATCGTTTCTGCGCGAGTGTCCATCGACCGCGAATGCAAATGCGCTCTTCAACTCATTGCACCACATATACAAATTACCGGATTTAGGATGAAGGGTGCTCCAACGGGTTGGTCAGCATAAGAGGTAACGTGCAGCACCACACCTCTCTTGCAACCGGACTTGTTGACTCCCGTCACTCAACATCTCTCCTCATGTCATATCGACGACTCACGCTTACGGTGCAATGGACATTGGACCTGGTAGCCATATGCACGGCAAGAAACATGCAAAGTGGAGTATGTTAGGGTCTCCGCATTTGTGAACATTGTTGAAGAGCAAAAAAAGGTGCAGTGTCAGCGTTCAAAGCCAAAGTTCGGTGACTCGAAGGTACATCGTTTAGCGAACAAAGTTGCTCCACGGGTAACGAGTTCGACTTGCAGGTGGAGATGGGACTAGAGAGTAACAACTGACTGTTTGAGTTGATCCAGGTGAGTAGTGGGTTCCTTGCCGAACCTTGACCAGAACTCACAGTATCTCTGAGTGATCAACACAAATGCACTATTAACATTGTTGCTAATAGCTCTCACCTTAGTCTACCACGGTATCGACATGATAAGACAAATATCGGACACATCATGCTTCTGGTAAGCACATGTCTCAATTGCAGGAAATGGCATTAATAATATGTCAGGCACACAGCCCTGTCTTGAACACTTTGCGCGCGATTGGGCAACTGAAGAGGATGAAGAGATCGAGCACGAGAGCACTCGTACATCAGCAAAACGTCGGCGCTTTGATCCCTGTCTGAATCGTCTGAATCAGATCATTCAGACGACTCAGACGCTCAGACAGCCGTCTGAATTAAGGAGGTTCATTTCTGAGCCAGACTCACCAGTCGGCATCAAAGCGCTACCAGACGCACTCAGACCGACACCAGACAACATTCAGATGGGTTTCAGGCACCTTCTAGCTATCGCAGACAATAGTTATATAATCTGTAAAACTAGATACAGATCCTGGAACATGCAATGGAGCAGTGATAGTAGGGTATGAACAGCCGAAACCTTTCGAGGGAGCGAACATGAGAGCTCGAAATCAGTTGCGAGTGCTGTGAACGAGTGGCGTAGTTGGATGCGAGACAAAATAAATGGGGGTGCGCGCACAGCGGCCTGGGAAATGATCGCTTCGGATGGGGTACAGCAGCTACAGATGAGGGTTTGGCCTTGCGCAAAGTTAGTAATACTGGGAGGCCGGATAGCCATTGGAGACTTACAGCTGTACCATCGATCTGGCCTCAGATGCTAGAGCTACAATCAGTGATGAGGGCACGTCCATCCACTGGTCCTGCGGCTTCGTTGAGGTTGGGGAGATTGCGATTGAGAGCGGCGAGGCCATTTGCAGAATCGACAATCACGTCCCACGTCCCCGGCATCAAGGTCTCAATCGAGATCTTGTATAAGTTGAGAACGCGGCTCCATATCTGTTCCGCAAACTTCTCCCTTGGTGTTATGTAGGTGCCGGTAGTGTACATGCCGATTGCGCACTCGACCTATGTCCGTTACATCAGTTGACTTGGAGTGCAATGGGACATGAGTGAACTTACTGCAACAGTCGACATTGCGAGAGCACCTCTGGGGGTGGCCTCAATGTACAAGATCGCCCCTGCTGTGGCATTCATGTGGTATGCAAGTGTCGCAAGGACAAGTTGGGACTGGAATGGTTTGTTCCAAGAGACCTGCGCACAGAAGATGACTCGAATGCATGACTGCTATGATGTGAATACGCACAATGGACCCATCATCTTTGCTAACCTTCACATCACCATATAGAAAGAGGTAGTTGCCAGTGATTTGCTGTGCAACGTAGGTCGCATGGCCTTCGGCTGTGTTTTCGAGCCTTCTCTTCTTCAGTTCTTCCAGAATGTCGAGCTGGAACAAGCGAGCAACGTGATCGGCAGCTGACTTGGCGAAGCCACTGCGCCAGTCATAGATCTTCTGCTGTGTCTACGGGATTAGTTGGTATGGGTCAGATTCCTGGCCAGTGTCATAACATGAGAGACATACTAAAGCATAGACAGCACCCTTATCATTAACCAGGTATAGAATGTCGGGAAAAACCAAGTCCCAGATCTGTTGGAACACCTTGACAAAATTGACGGCTGCAATGTCCCAGGGGTTCGGTAATGTTCCTATGTAATCGAGGACCGTCGGAATGTACTCCTTGCTCCAGCGTGGTTCAGCACCAGCAGGAAGATCAACTTTCACAAACCCGCCATTCGCACCACTGCCTGCCTCGCCAGTGACGGAATTATGTGAAGTGGCGAGCTCAGTCTTGATCATGATTGCTGGATCTTCTCGCTTGATTGCAACGACACCCTATCTCGTTCGGCATTAGCAGAGACATTGAGCTCTCCAATCAATCAATCATTTACCTTTGTGATGTTCTGACTGGAGCGAGCAAGCTCACACTCCTCAGTCCCGTCATCCTCACTTGAGACATACCCACCATAGTCTCGTACATCCATGGCCGTCATGGCCGAGGGTGGTAGTGACACATGTGTGAGGTGTTTGAACTGTGTTCCTGCTGCTGCCCGTAAGATAGATATGGACATATCATAGTTGCAAGATTTGTACTTACCAGGGGACATAGAACTGTCATGCTGAGTCCACCCAGCTAGCAACCCAGAGGGATTGGCAGCCCTTGCTTTCTTTACCCTAGGATGCAAGGTTAGTCAACAGAGTATGATAAGCCAACACATCGACATACACTGTGGGAACTGACGAGTCTTTCGAAGACTTGCGCTTGCCAGAGACCAAGACAATAGGCTTGTCATTGAGATCTGCATTCAGTAGACTGTTGCGGTGAGCATCAATGTCTGCTCGCGTCGTTCGTGACTTCTTGGCCATCTTGGATGTGGTGGACTGCGGTGCAGCCTTAGCAGGCATCTTCGGTGTGGGAGCGTTCGAAGCATGAACCTGTTTAGGTTTGCCGACACCTCCCCGATCGTTACTAGGATGTTCGACAGCACTGTCCAAAATGTTTGCACGCCCACCACCACCAGCGTGCTCAACGTGAGATGGGGAGGAGCCGAATGCTATATGAGTAGTTAGTGTATATTCCATATCATTAGTGCGGAAGAGAATACTGACTCGCAGCTTGACTATGCTCCTCTTCCAAGTGATTTTCCAACTCAGCAAGACGCTGTAGGCTCGCAGCTTGTTGGTCAGCAATTAGCTGCTTTGCCTGAGCAGCAAGATGGCGCTCTTCAGCAATAATATCAGGTGGGCGATGAGGAGTTCCTTTCAAGATGTTTCCGGGATGCTTATTGACATTTGATTGACGGGTATAGACCATGTTGTCAGGATGTGAGAGCAGGTAAGGACGAGAAAGCTATAAGGGGGGGGGATACAAGACAGCAAGTGCAGAAGCAAGTTATAAGCATGCGTAGACTGGTAACGCTATGATGTTTCATGGCAACGGGGCTGAACGATCACACTGGAACAGGGCGGAGTCAAGATAACAAAATCATGTGCACGGACCCGTTGCGCCATGCCATTTTCTAGCACGTTCTCTTATCTAGCACCATACTGGCAGATCTGACTTGTCTTGGATTACAATGATTCCTCAGCACCACCGTCGTCCACACAATTCCTATCGTCTTCAATGCCCTCATTGTCCACGTCTCTGCAGGAATCTTTCAGGGCTCACACAGCACGTCAATGTGGTCCACCGACGTGGAGAACACTCTGAAACTCATCTGGCAGACCCACTCCGAGTCGCTGATGGACCGAACTACGAAGATTTTCAGGCCGCTGAACACCTGGCACCTGACAACAATCAAAGCTACACAATTCGCGAGCATCATCCCTTTGTTACTGGTACATTACTGGTGTCTTCCTGGTGGTTTTGGAGCTGACACTATTTCGGATGCGTAGGTACACCCTGCTCAAAGGATGGTGTCAATTTACCTCCTGGTGCTCCCCCACCTCCTCGTACTTCTGCTATGAAAGGTGATTGGACACCATTCAGTGATCGTGTTGAATTTGAAACTGCCGAATTTCTATTCAAGCGCGAACAGATGTCTCAGGGAAACATCAACGACCTCATGGACATATGGGCTGCATCATTATTGCCTTACGGTGGGAACCCTCCATTTGCAAGTGCCTCTGACATGCACTCTGTTATCGACACTATCCAGCATGGAAATGCACCTTGGCAGTCATTTTCTGCCAAGTACATGGGCGAGCTTCCGCACGACACTCAGCCGCCATCATGGAAGACTGCCGAATATCAAATTTGGTGCCGAGATCCACGTACCGTCGCACGCAATATGCTCGCAAATTCCGACTTTGAGGGTGAATTTGACTATAGCCCCTACCGGGAGTTTGTCGACAACGAGCGACGCTTTTCGAATCTGATGTCTGCCAACTGGGCATGGAAGCAAGCGGTCAGTACATGTTGCCCGAGTTCATCACATTTAGATACTTACATATCCCGCTGTCTAGGATGTCATTGCGCAAGATCCGACAACACACGGCGCGATGTTTGTCCCTCTCATTCTTGGGAGCGACAAAACAACGGTTTCTGTTGCAACTGGCCATAACGAGTACTGGCCGCTATACATGTCCATCGGTAATGTGTTCAACAATGTGCGGCGTGCACACCGTAACGCGATTGCTGTGATTGGCTTTCTAGCCATCCCTAAAAGTAAGTTAGGACCTTCAGCACTTCTTGTAGTTAGGTACTCATATAGCCACTATCACAGGTGAACGGCAGTACGGAAACAGTGCCCACTTCCGCAAATTTCGTCGTCAACTCTTCCACGCAAGTCTCTCTACTATATTGAGCCCGTTACGTGCTGCCATGTCAGTTCCGGAAGTCACGCGCTGCCCTGACGGACATTTCAGGCGGGTGATATACGGTCTAGGTCCGTATATTGCAGATTATCCGGAACAAACACTCGCTGGGTGCATTGTTCAGGGCTGGTGCGTAACGTGAGTACTCTGATTGTCTCATATTAGCAGAGGTTGATGTCAAACCACATTCCATAGCTGCTCTGCGCACAGGTCTGCTCTCGGAGATGGCGGAACCCATGGTCTGCGCACACGCGAGCACACACAAGCATTAGTTGCCGCGCTGGACTTGGTCACCCTGTGGGAGGATTACGGGATTGTGGGTGACATCATTGTAAGTCTTGCTCGTGTTCATGATGTTGTACATGTGCTGATTCATGGAGAATGTGTTTATAGCCATTCACCAATGATTTCCCGCGCGCCGATATCAATCAGCTCATGACCCCCGACCTTTTGCATCAAATTATCAAGGGAACTTTCTATGACCATCTGGTGACGTGGGTGCATGAATATTTGGTGCTCGAGCATGGAGAGAGTGAGGCCAAGAAGATTCTTGACGAGATCGACCGCCGGTACGTGTGCAAG